TGTATGCCAAACATTTGATCCAACTTTTGTGGATAGCTAACATAGATTGGGATGAAGCGCCACCCATAGACATTGTAAATTCATGGCATGCATTTATTAATCAACTACCGTTTATTTCCAAAGTATCATTTCCCCGTCACATATTTCCGGAACATAAATCAATTCAAATTCACGGATTTGCTGACGCTTCGGAGAAGGCTTATGCAGCCTGTGTCTATGTACGCCTTACGGGTAAGGACGGGCACATTCGCACTTCACTTATTATGGCGAAAACTCGCGTATCTCCACTTCGTATACTTTTAACGATCCCGCGCCTCGAGCTGATGGCAGCCCTATTATTGTCCAAGCTTTTACAACAAACATTAGATATATTCTCGGATTACGTTATTATTGATCAAGTTTATGCTTGGTCCGATGCGGCCATCGTGTTAGCGTGGCTGCGATCACCACCACACGAATGGAAAACGTTTGTTTCGAATCGGACTAGCGATATACTTTCACGCGTTCCTGCTGAACGTTGGCATCATGTTCCGTCGGCAGACAACCCTGCAGATGCTGCATCTCGTGGCATGCTGCCTGGTGCGTTTGTCGAACATGACTTATGGTTCCATGGTCCATCTTGGCTCCGTCAAGATCGAACTCACTGGCCCTCGTCAACAGTAGATTATACTACAGAGGAGGAAAAGCGTATCAAGGTTTCGGTTAGTTCAAATTTAACTTCAACAGCTCCTATACAGGACGTGGATATTATTTCTCGATTTAGTAGCTTAGGAAAGTGCGTTCGAGTAACGGCTTTAATATTTAGATTTTATTTTAAATGTAAAAAATACAAAAAATCTTATTCGGACTATGTAACAGTGCCAGAGTACAATTTTGCTTTGACTAGACTTATTTCTTTAGTTCAACAGTGTGTATTTAGTGATGATATTAAAAGCATTTCACTAGGAAAATTTCCCTCTAATAAATTACGACGCTTAACACCATTTTTAGATGATAATAAATTATTACGCGTGGGTGGTAGATTACATAAGTCTCTTTTATCGTACGATTCTAAACATCAGTTAATTTTGCCGAAAAAACATAATTTGACTAATCTTATTATTGACGATGCGCATATAAAATATTTGCACGCCGGCCCACAAACCGTTCAATACTTATTATTGCAGCGATATTGGATTCTATCTAGTCGAGATATAGTGCGTCAACGCATTCATCGCTGCGTTACTTGTTTCCGCGCGCGCCCCGCTCGTAACCAGCCGCGCATGGCACCACTGCCGGTGTCTCGTTTGCGTCCCGCGCGACCATTCATTAAGACCGCTGTCGATTATGCCGGTCCATTTTATGTGCGTGCAAATAAGGTGCGTAATGCAAAGGTTATTAAGTGCTACGTCGCGGTTTTTGTCTGTATGAGCATAAAGGCCATACATTTGGAACTTGTGTCTGAGCTTTCCACGGAAGCTTTTCTGGCCGCTCTCCGACGTTTTACCTCGCGCCGAGGCTTATGTACCGACATCTATTCGGATTGCGGAAAGAATTTTATTGGGTGCAATAATTATTTAAAGGATTTGTATGCATTCTTGCGCAGTAACGCTGTCCAGAATCAATTAAACGAGCTTACACTCCAACAAGGCATAACGTGGCACTTTCAGCCTCCGTATGCCAGTCATTTCGGTGGATTATTTGAGGCGGGTGTCAAAAGCTTTAAACATCATTTCTACCGTGTAGTTGGCACTCGCACTCAAACTTATGATGAGATGCACACTCTTCTCTGCCAAATAGAGGCCGTGTTAAATTCGCGTCCGCTTTGCGCCACGAGTGCTTCACCGGAACCGCTTCCCCTAACTCCATCACACTTTTTGATAGGAGAACCTTTGACTTCTTTGCCTGATGTTTCCTTGGTGGATGAGAATCCTAATCGTCTTACACGGTGGCGTTGGGTTCAACAATCCGTTCAGCATTTTTGGAAAAGATGGAGTAAAGAATATTTACACGAAATGCAGCAAAGTCAAAAATGGTTTTCTGATCGAGGTTCAAGTATCCGTGAGGGTACTGTTGTAGTGGTGAGCGACGACAATCTCCCGCCTCTGCAATGGAAAATTGCGCGTGTTCATGCTCTTCATCCCGGATCTGACAACATAACTCGCGTCATAACACTACGTAGGGGTAGTACTCTTTTCAAGCGGCCCGTTGTTAAGGTGTGCCCGCTTCCTATTGATTAGTTTATATCGTTACGAATCAAATCTTAGTACTTAAGTTTTTTTTTTGCATTCTCTCTAATATTTTTTTTTTATTTTCATTCATTGATTCAAGTTAAAGGCACTTACGTCCCTTTAAGGTGAGCGGCATGTTCCGTAGCGTAACAGATTTTTTAATAAAGCAACACATATTGGAAGATTGTATTTTTTTCTTTTTTTTTATTTATGTATGGGGTAGGTGACAAACCGTATTTTCGTTCTGAGCCTACCACTGTGCCTTGTGTGTTGGTACGACTTTACGGCCGACGCCGGCACCAATGTGCGAGTAGTTCACTTCGAGTCCCCGACGTGTAAGCAGCTATCAACAGCTCTAAACGAATTTCCGTTACATCAAGTGAGAGTACCCATTTTCTCTGGAAGATATCGTGAACCTTCTGACCTGTGGACTCCTATGTGCGATACATTGCCGGCAATAGTTTCCCAAGAGCGTTGACGAACCCCGTTCTGAAGCCTAGCCCTAGGTACCCGTGGCGGTGTAAGGAGCGTTTGCGGTAAGTCGCCGAACCCCGGCTTTTATCATACAATCTTAATTAAATGTAGTAAAGACTCTGACCCTAATATTGACATACTCCGTACAATAGAAAATATATCGCACTGGCTCACAGAACATAACCTGGAAATTAATTGCAAAAAAACTAAAGTAATAGAATTTAAATCGTACAAAACTAAACCTTTAAATCTTGGCGTAAATTTTGATGATATCCAAATAGATTCAGTAGACACTTTTAATCTCCTCGGATTGATAATAGACTCAAATATTAACTGGAAGGGCCATATAGACCACATTAAATCGAAATTGTCCAAATTTACATATGCACTATTCGAAATTAAGAGTAGCACAAACGTAGATACTGCTCTAGCAGCATACTACGCATATGCATACTCCTGGCTTAAATATGGAGTCATGCTTTGGGGCAACAGCGTTAATGCAGGGCAGGTATTTATACTCCAAAAGAAATGTGTGCGAATCCTTGCTCAAATTAACAATATGCAGAGTTGCAGACCTTACTTTTTAAAATACCAACTACTAACTTTACCATCGATTTACATACTGGATAATTGCTTGTTTATTTTTAAACATCGCAATAAGTTTATCCGTGTTCAAGACACACATAATACTAGCACTCGCAACAAAAACAGGCTGTATATACCTCCTTCACGCATAAAGATGCTAAACACCAGCCCCTATCATATGGCTATAAAAATATTTAATAAATTACCATCACAAATACGGGATGAACAGGAACTCCCTATATTTCACAAAAAACTAAAAAAAAAAATTAACCGATGAATGCTTCTATTCTATCGAAGAATACTTTAATAAATTTAATTAATTTGTATTTTTTTTTCAATTGTTTTTGTTTTGTTAAATTATGTTATAATGATGGTATCACCCAAACCTTACCTTATCTTACAATTTTATAATTTATAATATCATAATAATAATATAAATGTTTAATTATATATTATTTGTTATACCTGTACAAGGTGACTAAGTCATAAGATGCTATGTATTATGTTTAAGAACTTATGTAACACTTAGTTTGCAAATAAAGAGTTTGAGTTTGAGTTAACGATTTTATTTTTTCATCGTTTACCCCATTGTGTCGGATGTCATTGAATAGGTCCTTTAAAATTACTCAAGGGTTCCTAACACTATTTTTCGATTTAGGGATCTGTTTGTGAAATATTGAACTTTAAAGTGCAAATTTTTGGTCGTGCAGGGCGTCCAAAAGCAAAACAATTAGCTTAAAAACTATATGAAATGAAAGCAGAACTATTGGCTTAAAAACTATATGAAATGAATGTTCAGAAATAATTTTAATTTAATAAATCAATAATAATAAATAGTTACTTAATGTATTATGTTAAATATGAGTCTTTGTTACTTGAAATAAATAAATATATATATATCTACCTGTCTCACTCTGGCAGTCGCGGCGGGTTGCTATATATCTATACAAATTTATGTGTGTGCTACAGAGATAGCTATATACATAGAGGTATAAGAATGGAGTGGGGAAGGCGGCTCTAAAAGTGTCCGTCTAGTAGAAAGAGAAAGAAGATGAGAGACCGCTAGCTATCTCTCTCTCTTGTGAAGCATGCGCAGGCGTCTGTCCAATAGTTGGTGCAAGCATCACATCGAAATAGTAAGATGGTTACGGTTGTCAATGCGCATGCGCGGTTAGAGAGAAAGCTAGCGGTCTCTCATCTTCTTTCTCTTTCTATTAGAGGGACACTTTTACTTGTAGTAGAGTCTATATCTCCCCTACTCTATTCTTATACCTATATGGCTATATATCTATACAAACATATGTGTGTGCGTGTGTGTAAGTGCGTCGATAAAAAAGTTTCTAAATAACGTTTTACTTTGATCTTTAATATCTCCATAACCATAAATTTCCCAGGTATGGGACCAGAAAAAAAAATTATCGTCATGATGTGGAAAATACGTGGCCTTAGACTTCGGTAAAGGATTTTTTACACCCTGTATAAAAGGGCCCCATATACGGAACGATTCGTCGTTGCGATCGATCTGAAGGAAATCGTCAACGATTCGTCGTTGCGATCGATCTCAAGGAAATCGTTAAGATCAATACAGACAATTGGTACAGATCAATCGTACCGTATATGGGACACTGACGATCGATCGTTTACGACATTTATGATTGTCCCGTATATGGGCCCCTTAACATCTATACTCATATATGTGTGTGCGACAGAGATAGCTATACATATATCTACCTGTCTCACTCTGGCAGGGTCTGCAGACGCGGAGGAGTGCGCCATACTGCCGAGGATGTCCGTTTCAATCGGGATCTGTCTATATTCGGGAAGATTCCGCGCAAATCTGGCGTTTGTGCTCTAACACCGAACCAACGGTCTATATGAGAGTTGGACACTAGAGATTGGACGCAGAGGAGAGCTTTGCGAGCCTGCGAACGAAAAAGAAATCAAGATTTAATATTAAAAATTTAAATAAATAAAACTAGTTTTAACGGGTTAATGCACGAAACTTTATTTATTTATTGACGTTTCGCAGCCTTTTCAGGTCTGCATCGTCAGCATTCTAAATAAATAAAGTTTCGTGCATTAACCCGTTAAAACTAGTTTTATTAAATGAGTGATGTGCGTGAAAACCTAAGAAACAAATATGTTAAATAAAGATTATATTATTAGAACAGGTAACAACAGATCGCTCGCTTCTTCAAAAGTTTAAAGTCCACTTGCAGCTATTTTGCTAAATCTTGATCCAACTAAAAATAGCTTACACCTAAAGAGAATTATCAAAATGTAAAAATATCAATGTCAATTTGATATTCTTGCAAAGGCAAAATCCCCTTTTGCCATATATTCCTACCGAGTCACACCGATAAAGATACTCCTTATAAACCTGTTCCTACACCAAGTAGAAATAAGTTTCTAGGGTTTCTTTATACGATTAACTAGGTGTGCGGTTTCTAAAAAAAATGTTTAAGTAATATAAATAATTCGCATATCTAACAAACAGTGCATCTTAAGGTCTATTTGCAGCAAATTCGCTTAATCTCGATTCAGCTAAAACTAGCCTTATCCTATAGAAAAATTGTCAAAAACTTCAATGTCATTAGACATTATTTAATGGGCTAAATCGTATCGAGTAGTTTTAGTTAAACTAAGATTTAGCAAATTTTTTGCAATGAATGCCCGTGGAGCTCGATGGCGCAAGTGGTTAGCGCGTTCGACTGCGATCGTTGAAGTAAAGCAACTTTCGCAGTGGTCGGTTATTGGACGGGTGACCAAGAATTTATTATCTCGAGCTCCTCCGTGCTTCGGAAGGCACGTTAAGCCGTTGGTCCCGGCTGCATCTGCAGTCGTTAGCACCCACCAATCCGCACTGGGCCCGCGTGGTGGGTCACGGCCCAATCTCCCTATTCCATCCATAGGGAAGGCCTGTGCCCCAGCAGTGGGGACATTAGTAGGCTGATGATGATGATGAATGCCTTGAATACCCTTTATATTTGAGGAAAGAATGCCCTTTATATTTTCTATTTTAGATTCTTTAGCAAAATGGCCAAGGTTTTCGCACATATAGGTTTAATAAAATTCAAAGTATTTTCTCAAATGACTGTTTTTAACATGTCTAAAGGATGCCAAACAAAGCATATTGTAAGCGGCCACCATAGCCTACAGACGCTTCATCACCAGCCTATTAATGTCCCCACTGCTGGGTACAGGCCTTCCCTATGGATGGAATAGGGAGATTAGGTCATGACCCACCACGCGGGCCCAGTGCGGATTGGCGGGTGCTAACGACTGCAGATGCAGCCGGGACCAACGGCTTAACGTGCCTTCCGAAGCACGGAGGAACTCGAGATAGAAGATTTTTGGTCACCCATCCAAAGACCGACTACTGCGAAAGTTGCTTAACTTCAACGATCGCAGCCGAACGCGCTAACCACCCGCGCCATCGAGCTCCTATAGACGCTTGCAATACCAAAAATATCGTTCGAACCATTGCCTACCCTGACCCAATCCCCTACCCCGTGGAGCCCTGGAACCTTATTCACCGACAGAAACACAACAACACCAACAGGTAGTGTTATTTTAGTGGTCTTCTGTAAGGTAAAATTAGAGCGAAAATCCGCTATGACCTACCTCTCTTAAACCGTAAATAATTGTATTTTAATATTTAAAGGTTACTATGTGGAATAATAAAGTCAAATATAGTAGGTACACTGTAGTTTTATTTACGACGACCTCCGTGGCCGAGTGGTTTGTACGCCGGGTTTCATGGTGTCGCCGACTCGAGAGGTCCCGGGTTCAAATCCCGGTGGGGGCAGATGTTTGTGTGATGAATACGAGCATTTGTACTCCACTCATGGATGTTTAATATGTACTTCCATATAAATATACTTATATATGTACAGTATATGTATTCTATCCATTACCCTAGCATCCCATGGCACAAGTCTTATAGTGCTTACTTTGGGGCTAGGCTAATTGGTGTGAGTGTTGGAAATATTTATTTATTTATTTATATTTTTTTTTCTCACTGATATTACACAACCCTTATACAAATTATCCTAGATACAAAAATGTATACGTACTAATTAAGGGTAAGGATGAAACGACACCATCTAGGTATTGATACTTTTACTCGATACTGTATCGGTCATTAAGTATCGATGCCTGCTCAGTATCGAATAAAAGTATTTAAAAAAATTTAACGAACGATATTACAATTGCATATTCTGTTACAGTTTTAATTTAACGAAAACAAAATAACGGCTCTCGCCAGGCGATGAACGAATAACTGACAGAATAAATTGGAATAAATATAAATCATACGCAAGGCTGCCAACTGAGCAGTAGAAAAAATGCGTTCGCGAAACAAAAATTCCAACTATACACCTTACCATAGAGTAAATAATCTGCCTATAGAGTTTTTTTGATACTTCTCAGTGAGTGACCGACCGAGTACTGATACAAGTATTTACTTCACGATACTACTTGTTACTCAGTTCTAAAGTATCGATACTAAAAGTACTTGGTATCGAAAGAAAAGTATCGAGTAGTTACTTGTATTTACTCGTATCGTTTCTTCCCTAAGGGGACTACGAAGGGCGACTGGTTCAATCGCTCGCAGTAAATGTTTAGTTAACAATACTGTTTCCCTATAATTTTTTTTTTTTTGTGAAATTTACAACAATCACACATATTCCTACATGAAAAAATATTTTTAACATTTTGGAGGCCTATTATGATCATCCACTTTGTAACATCGAATCCATCTGAATATGTACCTATGTGCTCAAGGAAAACCAATTTAACATTAACATAAAAATACATGTGTCTACACATAAATATAATTAGATATTTTTACATAAATACATATAAATAAAAGGACATTTATATGATTATATAAATATGAGGTCAATCGTGCATTTAATATAACATAAGGAAAAAACAAATTGCAGTTGCCTCTTCATAAACCCTGCCTCTAAATTATGAACAAAGAGCAAATTTTAAAGCAATTAAACTGCTAGATGTTTAAATGTAACTTAATAAATAATACCTTAGAAGTACTCCACAGTGGTACCGGCCTATCCACGGCCTCCTCCTCTTCATCAGAGTTGAGATACTGAAATCCATCTGCCATGTAAACGGGCTCCATAGCGTATTTGCCTGGTGTTCCGGGGGTTTTCAATGGCGTATGATGCACTGAAGAAAAGACTTAAATTAATCCCTATTTTCCTAGGGACGTCTTAAATTGAGCGTTGTTGTAGCGACGACATCTCTATGCCTCACAACTAGGGTTACCATTTAGGAATTTCAAAAGTCCTGTCATTTCAATAAAAGTCTCGACTTTTTAGTCACAAAATGGTATCATTAATCACTTAGTTACAATGGTATGGTATTAAAATCAATATAGTACTTTTATTATTCATATCCAATGTAATTTAAAATAGTCTAAAAGTCCGGAGATCTCCGGACTAATCTGAACGGATGGTAACCCTACCCACAACGGATGGAGGAAATAATCACTCGCCATCTTCAAGAGATGGCGCTACCGGCGCTGCGATCAATAAGTATGGCAGCCTACATCGCGCAAGTGAAATTCATGTTCAATGCCCGACCAACATCAGTCGGGCCTCCGCCCCCGAGCTACCATCACGAAGTTCAGAGGAAGATCTTCCCCTTTGGCCTTCCTAAGTTGTTAAGCTTAAAGCGACCAGCGGGCATTTTGAAGGAAAATAAAATTTAAATATTAATCCCATCAATAATTATAAAGTTTAGTGACCATGAATGTCTAAAACGAAAAATTGTCCTACGTACTGATGTAAAAAGTAGACGTGAGCTCATAGACATTTGATTAATAGGTATTTGAAAAAACTATCGGTGAATACTGTAAAGTAAATTATAATTATAGTGCGTAAAGTGTCGTTTTTTCGAAAGGTATATACAGGGTGCTACAGAATTCCGAAATAAAATTTGTAGGTATGTATTCCGAAATAAAAATTTGTAGGTATCTGAGCGGGGCGCAGGGGCGCCTCGGGGAGAGAGGGGGGTCTGTTTAGGTAGTTGTAATCGTACGCATTTATAGGGTTGTCATAGGCAGGTGTAAAACGATATTTTTATTAATTTAATTAGAAAATAAAAGTGGTCTGAAAGGCGTCAAACTTTCGTAGGTAATTCTATACAAGGAACACAACCAAACCCTAAAGTTTTATTTCGGACTTTTGTCACACCCTGTATATCAATGTTTGTTAATTTAACGCATTTGAAACAAATTTTGTTCTAATACATACTTACTATAAACTGCTCTAATAGAAAATATTTGTTATATTCAAATGCATGGTCGGTAATATAGTCGTCTTTTTTCCTCGGAGTTTTACTGCTATATTGTTAACAGCGCATTCAGAATTGCGGGTAGAGTCAAAGAAATACGGTCTATATTCCTCCGCATATAGCAATAAGTCGTAAAATTTTAAGAGCTTGCATTTCCAACTGTCATAACTCTGACACTTGCGTTTTAATTTAGACCTTATGTAGTATGCATGCAAAGGTGACTTTCAATGTTTAAATAATGCCTTATATTGTTTTTGACCACGCGATCATCTTACGGAGCTCCGTGGATCATCCAACGTACCTTTTGGACAGGTTTCGACCACGATTTTGTCCGTGTTGTTGTATCTATGGTATAAAATAGTTTTTTACGGGTTATATGCACTGAATTTATTTATTTATTGACGTTTTGCAACCTTTTCAGAAATGCGTCGTTGGAATAATGATTTTTTATTTACTTTGTCGAGCTACCTACGAAAGACTTTTATTGAGCGCTCGGATATTTTATTGGAATCTATCTATGGTATTTAATATCATTGGCTGATGATAATGATGAAACTTACGTTTATCCATTTCGAGTCGATGTTTCAATTTCTGTTTCTCGATGTACTCCTTTTGTCTCTTCTCAATCTCTTTCGCCATTATTGCCGCCTCTTTCTTCATGCTGTTGACAATATTTTAGTTATTTTGACAATATCTAGTTATTTTAACACTGTTTTAGGCGGTTTTGATTAAAAATTATTTGAGATTCAAATGCAACGGGCCCGAAACCTCTGGACTGTAAAAAAAAAGTTTGGCCAGATGCGTAATTATACCTTCATGTTCGCCAGCTCCTCAGATGGTAATAATCAGTGCGGCAAAATACGCAATGCTCTACCTTTGTTATTTTATTTGGGTTAAATATACACTTTCAGAGACACATATTAGTGCAATAAGTTACGACGGGCGGCTGAAAAGTTTTGAGCCTAAGTACCTTTGATCATTACTAATGAGTAGCTTTTATTACTAATATAAATACCAAGATTCATGTCAGTAGCATTATTACATTTTTAGTAATTGAAACTTAAACATCACCATGTCTGACTCATCAGCGCTTTCTACGAAATTGGAGTACAGAACTGTCATAAAATTCCTCACCGAAATAGGATTTGAAGAAATAAACCACCCACCCTACAGTCCGGACCTCCGAGGACGGAGATTTTCAAGTGTGGAGGAAATGAAGGCGGCCGTAAATGAACATTTTGAAGGCAAACACGGCGATTTTTTTTAACGGGTTAAAAGTTCTTTTTAATAAATGTAGGAAGTGCATTGAATTAGAGGGAGATTATATTGGAAAACGTTTTTTTTACACATTTCTATCAGCATTATACCTTAGGGTGCGCCAGAGTGCACTCAGATTCAGATTCTGAAAACAAGCGCGAGAAATAAACAGTGTAGTCTAAGCAGGTTGCCTGCTTTTTCTTGCGCTTTGTTTTCTGAGTCTGAATCTGAATCTAAATCAGGAGTGCACTCTGGCCGTACCCTTCGACTACACTGTTTATTTCTCGCGCTTGTTTTCGGAATCTGAATCTGAGTGCACTCTGGCCGCACCCTTCGGCTCAAAACTTTTCAGTCGCCTCTCGTAAAACAGTCTGTAGCAAAAATATATGTCAGTTTGAGCAATAAGAATATTTGTTTAAAAACACACGTTGAAGATGGCTAATAAGTCAGCTTCAAAACTATGTGAATACTTTTCACTCAATGTAACATTTATTTTTGATAGGGTCTGTCAAAACTTAGTAAAGCTAGGTGGGCCGATAGATGTGTCCGGGACATAGAGGTATAAGAATAGAGTGGGGAAGGCGGCTCTAAAAGTGTCCGTCTAGTAGAAAGAGAAAGAAGATGAGAGACCGCTAGCTATCTCGCTCTCTTGTGACGCATGGCATCCAATGGCATCACATCGAAATAGTAAGATGCTTACGGTGGCCAATGCGCATGCGCGATTAGAGAGAGAAAGCTAGCGGTCTCTCATCTTCTTTCTCTTTCTATTAGAGGGACACTTCCACTAATAGTTGAGTCTTTATCTCCCCTCTCTATTCTTATACCTCTATAGTCCGGGATCGTTTTCTAAAACTTGTCAAATACTCTTAATAAAAAGAGGTATTTAATTCAAACAAAATTAAGCATTCAAAAAAAATGTAAGATGAATGTTTCTAATTTGAATAAAGAATTTTAAGTTTGACTTAATAATGAGAACACTCACGCTTCCGCTTCTTCCAGCTGCTTCCTTCTGGTCGCGTCCGCTCTTCTCTGCTCTTCTGCAAGCCTCTGTTGCCGCGCGTGTTCTTCCGCTTTCCGTCTCTCCTCAGTTTCCGCCACTTTGCGAGCTAATTCTTGCTTTTTCTAGAACAAAATTTATAAAGGTATAGAAAATAGTGACATTTGTATGAAACATACATTACACCTAAAACTGCCAAATTATAGTGATTAAAAAAAACATAATTTTGTTTGTTATGAATATTTGATGTTATTTAAAGACTATAGCTAAATCCTATAAAAAAATGTTGTCAAAATTTTACACATTCACAATGTAAACAATATTTTCTTTTTTAAATTGATCCAGTAGTTTTTGTGTCTGTCTCTCTCTGCCAGCTGCAGTTGAGGCAGCCTCTCTCTCTCCGTATCTATCAAACGACAGATCATTATAATTACCCTTTCAGCTTCCCTCAATCTCTCCGCCTTCCCGTGATCTGCAAGAGCTTGCTTCTCCTGTCTCTCTCTGCCAGCTGCAGTTAAGGTAGCCTCTCTCTCTCCCTCCGTATCTATCAAACGACAGATCATTATAATTACCCTTTCAGCTTCCCTCAATCTCTCCGCCTTCCCGTGATCTGCAAGAGCTTGCTTCTCCTGTCTCTCTCTGCCAGCTGCAGTTAAGGTAGCCTCTCTCTCTCTCTCCGTATCTATCAAACGACAGATCATTATAATTACTCTTTCAACTGCCCTCAATCTCTCCGCCTTCCCGTGATCTGCATGAGCTTGCTTCTCCTGTTTCTCCCTGGCAGCTGCAGTTAAGGCAGCCTGTCACTCTCTCTCTCCCCGTATCTAACAAACGACAGATCATTATAATTACCCTTTCAGATTCCCTTAATCTCTCCGCCTTCCCGTGATCTACATGAGCTTGCTTGTCCTGTCTCTCTCTTCTCTCTGACAACTGCAGTTAAGGCAGCCTCTCTCTCTCTCTCTCCGTATCTATCAAACGACAGATCATTATAATTACCCTTTCGGCTTCCCACAATCTCTCCGCCTGCCCGTGATCTGCATGAGCTTGCTTCTCCTGTCTTTCTCTGGCAGCTGCAGTTAAGGCAGCCTGTCTCTCTCTCTCTATGTATCTATCGAACGACAGATCATTATAATTACCCTTTCAGCTTCCCTCAATCTCTCCGCCTTCCCGTGATCTGCATGAGCTTGCTTCTCCTGTCTCTCTCTGGCAGCTGCAGTTAAAGCAGCCTGTCTCTCTCTCTCCGCCGCTTCTCTGGCCGCAGCGGCCGCAGCCATTTTCTCTTCGCGTTTTCTAAATATAGATGAAACAAAAAATGAGTGTTTATTATCACCAATAGAGTTGATTAAATATCAGATAATTTTAATGGTTGAAAATATCAGTAAATATTTTTAGTCAAATTGACTGAATAGTTTTCACAAGTTGATTTATTTTTATTAGTTGATACACATTAAGTTAAGATATTTTTATCAATCACAGACCGAAGTAGGTCTGTGGTTGAAATTATTCATTATGATGATTTTATCACTCGATTACATTTATGTAATAAATCAATATTACTTACTTATTATTATATTTTCGATAAATATCTATCGAATATGTAATTAATTAATAAATTAGTAATTCATAAAAAAAGTTAATTTAACGGTTGATAAATATCTTCAACAACACTTATTAACAACTTAAAGCGTGTTACAATAATAGAGGTTCGATTCCCCTAATAAGTGTGAAAACACTTGTAAATTAATGAATTGCAAAACTCGACTAAATCACATATAAAAAAAACTAAAAACTACTCTTCAATTCACCTTTTCTGCTGTTCCCTCTTAGCTTCCAGGATTGCTTCCTTCTTCTTCCTGGCATCTTCTTTCTCCTTCTTCATGCTCTCTTCTGCTGCCTCTTTGGCTTTATTAATAGCGCTCAGTTTGGAAGTAGAAGCGGGTATGTGCGACTTTGTTGAAGTGACTATGTTAGCTCGAGGTTTTGTTGCAGAACTTGATATCTGAACAAAATGATATAAAATAACGTTTAATATAATAAAAACAAAGGTTTACTATAGAGAAAATATTACAAAATATCAAGTCAAGTGTAATAACTTATGCTAAAATGAACAAAACAAATTACAACTAACGAATTAGAAATCATATGATAGTATTAGATCCAATTTCACCAAACATCTTAAAATATAGTAAATTTATATTACAAATGTTTCAGACCATTGCTAAAATCAACCTTCAAGTGAATGAATTGAAAATCATGGAAAACCGCAAAGTCAAATGAATACCTTCATAAGTATTAAACATTTGAAAGAAGCAATAGCAATTATAGTTAGGTATATTATAATTTTTTAAGCATTTAACTGCTACATGTTCAAGTAAATAGTTAGAAAAAAATTCACGCGGCAACTCACCGTTGACGATGGTGCTTTCCCATTGAATATCATGTTGTTCATTTTATTCAACGTTTCCACGGAGAGGACCGGCTTCACTATCTTGTCTGGAGGCGTATGATTTTCTGTTTCTTCTTCCTATTGGCATGGGAGAACACTAAATTTAAACACAGTGGAAGTTTCAGCTTTATTATTTATCTAATAAAGATATTATTAGCTTTTCACTTAATATGATATTTAAGATGTAAATGTTTAGTTACACCTATTATAAATAACTCTATTTGTATTTAGTCTGTGTGACACAGCAAACAAAATGCAGGTGAACAATTAATGTATAATTGCACATTATGTAATGAAAGGTGACTTCATGAATCGTCTCTGAAGTAATTTTTCAACTTGACGACTCTGTAAATAATAAAATAGGGAGAAAAAAACAGCCCTTGCTGAGTTTCTGTCCGTTTCTTCTCAGTACAAGGTCTCCCGCCGTAGATTTACGAACCGATGGCGTAGCTTCGAGACATTCATATGTGCTTGTAACAGCCTAAAGTGAATAAATGATTTTGATTTCTATTGATAATTAAAAAATATTTATGACGTAATAACTTCTTATAAATCGATGAACACCGGCTGCAGGCACAAGATAAATTGTCAAGTTCCGCCTGAACGTGTAAGCGAGAGCGCGGAACAAGAGATAGAGGGGCACGATCATTTTTCATGTTTTTTTATAAGTATAATATGTTTCTTTATGACGTTACCACGTAAAACTATCGTCCGTAAACAGACTTTACAGAAAAAAATTTATTCATGTTGTTTTATAAACATGTTGTGCGATATCTTAATTAATAAACATAGAGAAATAAATGATATTATTGTTGCAAACATCTTTGAAAAACCCAATTGAAGATAGACCCAAAAATGTTACGCAAGTTAATATGTTACCAGGAAAACTGTAATTGACATTAGTTAAAGAAAACATTATAAATGTAACGAGAAATAAGACAATGCTGTAGATTTCTTTGAATTCTTTTTTCAGTTAAGAATTGATAATTTTGTATGAATTTGCTTAAGTATATTGTATTCAATGTGTACACCAAATAAAATATTTATCAATAGTGTTTAAAGATCAAATAATATTTGAAAAAAAGAGATAGCCAATCGATATTTTCGAATCCAGTTCTTCAGTTAAGCATTTCAATTTAATTCATAAATATAAGTTATGAATGCCCCCTTAGATTTTGTTAACAATAAAATATATAATCGTTGTTTTGGCGATTTTGTTGGAAACTAACCCAAGTTGACAGTGGCGTAAATTAATGTAATTAATGGTTTAAATGTCAACCATATTATATAAGCATTAAGATGCAAATTTGTCAATTACAAACATACTTAATTCCTAGACACTTTGGATGTTATTCATTGTTTAAATGTCAACTTTATTCTGTAAGCGATAAGATGCATATTTGTCAAATACAAACGTACTTGGTTTTTAGAGACTTTTGATGTTATTCATTGTTCAAATGTCAACCTTATTCCAGAAGCGATAAAATGCAAATTTGTCAAATACAAATGTACTTAATGACTAGACACTTTCGATTTTTTTTATGTCATAATATTTTTATTCGATTATTTACAATATGTCTTTTTAATTATGTTATTTTTAATCAAATTTCAACATGTTTAATAATATACTGTCCGTGCTTGAGGCTGCTATTTGATACAGCCAGGGGCGCGGGCAGAAGTCTGAAAGAGGAAGCATAGAAGCATAGTAAAGATAGGTATACAAGAAAATAGGGAGGTGAAAAACAAAGTAAAGAAAAGTTGATTCACATTAGTGGCGTTAAATACTACTCGTTTGCTTCGAGTTGGCCGTCGATAGCCAATCACAGGCACATCAACTGGTACCATCGTCCAATAAGGTCGACTAATAGGGACTGTCTAAAGCGCGGTGTTCTGAAGCTGGGAGGGTGGAAGGTGGAAGCAGCCAATTCGAAGCGAACGCGTAGTGCTTTGGTTATTAAAAGTATGCGTTATTAATAGAATGCAGGGTTCACTCAACACATTCACGCAAACTCATGCACACACACAGAGAGAGATACACACACACACGCAATCATACTCAAATGAGTCCTAAGGTAATTATTATATACACTTTTAAACTATTATATAATATAACGTAATTATAACATTCACAGAAAAAAAGCTTTAAGAGCGTGCGCTGCGTTAAGCGGGACATAGAGCGGGCACCCGCTCGGCGCGCTTTCGATTTATTCATTGTTTAAATGTGAACCTTATTACATAAGCAATAAGATGCAAATTTGTCAATTACAAACGTACTTAATTCCTAGTCACTTTGGGTTTTATTCGTTGATTAAATGTCAACCTTATTCCATAAGCAATAAAATGCAAATTTGTCAATTACAAACGTAATTAAGCACTAAACACTTTTGATGTTATTCATTGTTTAAATAACGACGTTATTTTATAAATTATAAGATGCAAAATTGTTAACACAGCACAAAAACTTACCTTCTTTGCCATCGCTCGCGTTTTTGTCCTTGTCACTCTGGATGCCATTTCTTCGAATTGTTGCACTTTCTCTTTTACTGCAGACCTGCGAATATTGATAGAAAATTTTGGGCTTCATGAAAGCTGTCGACTAAAAGAGATACTTTAACTTGGCGGCGAGTCGCAACAGATCCTATAGGTGGTAGTGACTACAGTTCCATTAGGACTGCATACCCGCAAAAATCTAAAATAACAATTGAAAGTAAGGACGCTATTCTTCAATATGTAAAGTCAAAAAATACGACAATTAAAGTGCCTTATCGTGTAGTAAACAAGCTGACCCAGCGAACTTCGTACCGCCATACAAATAGGGGCTGGTGGTAGAAGGGGGAAAATTAAGGGGTTGGATGTATTTTTTAAAGATAAGCCATTAAAAAAAAATAAAAAAAAAAAGTATATTTTAATAACTTTTTTTAAAACTAGAATATATTTAAATGTGCTAAAAGGTTCCCGATTATAAAATATATACTTACCAAATTTTATTAAAATCGCTCCAGCCGTTTAAGACGTACTGAAGTAACAAACATACATGCTCACAAACTTTCGCCTTTATAATATTTGTGTGAAAGTTGGGATAACTCACGTGGGTTGCGGTAAAGGCGGTGTTTTCTTCGGCGGCGTTTGTGGTTCATCATTGTCGTCAGTCATTAGTGATGTGTTGTCATCTGTCATTATTGTGGCAGCTTTAGGATCTGTTGACAAAGAGGATTTGACAAGTTTGTGAAAACGGTGTCACGTTATTTACTAATAAACAAATAAATATTTCCAACACTCACACCAATTAGCCTAGCCCCAAGCTAAGCACTATAAGGCTTGTGTTATGGGATACTAGGGTAACGGATAGAATACATATACTGTACATATATAAGTATATTTATATAGAAATACATATTTAAACATCCATGACTGGAGTACAAATGCTCGTATTCATAACACAAACATCTGCCCCCACCGGAATTCGAACCCGAGACCTCTCGAGTCGGCGACACCATGAAACCCGGCCAAGGAGGTCGTCAATGTTTATGCAGTCTATAAAAAGGATGGATATTCATCATTCATCATCATCATTGAGGAGCTCGATGGCGCAAGTGGTTAGCGCGTTCGGCTGCGATCGTTGTAGTTAAGCAACTTTCGCAGTGGTCGGTCATTGGATGGGTGACTAAAAATTTCTATCTCGAGTTCCTCCGTGCTTCGGAAGGTACGTTAAGCCGTTGGTCCCGGCTGCATCTGCAGTCGTTAGCACCCGCCAATCCGCACTGGGCCCGCGTGGTGGGTCATGGCCCAATCTCCCTATTCCATCCATAGGGAAGGCCTGTGCCCCAGCAGTGGGGACATTAAGAGGCTGATGATGATGATGATGATACGCATGCGGAAGGTGCAAATTCGAATCCTGTCTGACATTTGGACCGAGTAGAATTTTTCTAGTAAAAATGTCTTTGTAAATAGTACCTATTCATTATTTGACATAAAAAAATACAAATTACTTCATAATCCATACCCACCTTTATCTAGCACCACCGTAGAGTCTAATATAACGTGCTGCTTATCTATCACCATAGTTTCTCGACTGCAAGTCTCCAACACCACAGTTTCGTTCATATTCCGCTAAAATAAATAAGTACAAATAAAAAGAAAATAGTGTACACCACACATCTCAAGTGAAACTTCTTTTCTTAAATTAGTTAATGTTTAGTCACACTTAATATAAATAACACTATTTGTATTTATACTGTATGCCACAGCAATCAAAATACAGGTAAACAATTAATGTATATTTAATAATTATGTAATGAAAGGTGACTTCATGAATCATCTCTGAAGTCATTTTTCAATTTGACGACTCTGTAAATAATAAAACAGGGAGAAAAAAACAGCCCTTGCTGAGTTTCTTGCCGGTTATTCTCAGTACAAGGTCTCCCTCCGTAGATTTACGAACCGATGGCGTAGCTTCTAGACATTCCTGAGTGCTTGTAACAGCCTAAACTGAATAAATGATTTTGATTATGATTAAATAACCTTACATTAGGCGGTGCATAAGGCATAGGGGAATGGAGCAGCCCACGCATTATATATATACAGGGTGAGGCAAAAGTCCGGCTTCCATTTTGGTTGCTTAGGTTATGTGAAGTTTATATCAGTTTCGCTTTAAGCATTGTGTAGTGTAGACACCCCAATTTTATATTGGATAAATATTAGACTTGCAACGAATATTCGGTTACTATTCGGTATTCGGCCTATTCGGCTGCTTTTATTATATTCGGCCGAATACCGAATACTTAAATAATATATTTTTTCATAGAGAAATAATTGGTAAAATGAAAACTTAAAATCGATTGATTACGTATATATTCATATTTTCATTTCTGTTATATTATCATTTAAGTAGTCATTGGTACATAACACAGGTCCATAATCATCTTCTGAATTGGAAAAATGGAGGATTCTATGTATTTGAATTATTGTGGTAATCAAAATGGTAATCAAAATTTAGAAGGGTAAGGTTCTCATTTCTTTAATAATCATTTATTAAGTAGTCATTGGTACATAAAACAGGTACATAATTTAATCATTTTCTGTATTAAACGAATTAACAGTTTTTAATTCATTCAGTCATGTGATGAATGCATACATAATAGTAATAATTTAAAGTTTACGTGTCTTTTTTGGCCATATCTCAAAAGTTAGGTCTGTACAAGTTTTTGGCGCTAAAATCCAGCCGAATACTTTTGCCTAATATTCGGCTATTTGGTCAGGGGCCTCGCCGAATATTCGGTATTCGGTATACTGCCGAATATACTATTCGTTGCAAGTCTAATAAACATACGCCACAAGAACGAGCAGAAATAGTGACAATATTTATTGAAAATAATCGTTCCATTATTGCCACTCAGCGGAAATTGCGTCAAAAATATCCTAATCGTCCAGCCAGATCTCTAGATTTAACAGCAACAGACTTTTTTTATGGGGTTTATAAATTCAAAAGTTTATGTGAATGGGCCCCAAACGATTCAACATCTTAAAAGACAATATTCGTCTCGATTTTGAAGAAATTCAGCCTGAAATGTTACAGGATGTCATGAAAAATGTCTTAAAAAGAGCTGAGAGTTGCATAGCGAATCGCGGTCACCATTTAGCCGATATAATTTTCCAATCATAACGGAAAAAAATGTAAAGACCAAATAAAACTTTTATGAAAACCAAACCTATTTATCTCTTCTTTGAACAAAGTAATAGACAATCAATATGGTAGCGGGACAGTTGCCCCACCCTTTATCTAACGATATGTATTTGTCGCGTGTGACGCTTGTAGCGTTTCGGCCTTCGCCGAGTTACCTTCCAACTTTCATGCTCATCGGGAAGAGCTGAGCTACATATATATTTATAAAAATAAAGATAAAATGTGACGCTCATAAAGCAATTCCGTTTCATATTTTCCATAGGTAAATAAGTCCGAAAAAAGGTTTCACTTCAAAAAACGTATTAAAATTAAGCACATTCCGATTAACGTCAATTTAGACATTTCGTTTTCGGGTTTTCATCATAGAGAGTGGGGAAGGCGGCTCTAAAAGTGTCCGTCTAGTAGAAAGAGAAAGAAGATGAGAGACCGCTAGCTATATCTCTCTTTTGTGACGCTTGCGCAGTCGTCTGTCCAATTAGTCCAAGCATCACATCGAAATAGCAAGATGCTTACGGTTGCCAATGCGCGAGCGCGATTAGAGAGAGAAAGCTAGCGGTCTCTCATCTTCTTTCTCTTTCTATTAGAGGGACACTTTCACTTGTAGTAGAGTCTATATCTCCCCTACTCTATTCTTATACCTCTATGGTTTTCATTGATATAGCATCGAAAATGAAAGCAGAACTGAATGATTAAATTATAATCAGTTTAATAAAACTAATTTATTTTTTTGCAAATTTCATCATCATCAATAACAATAAGAGCAGCAATAAGGTAAGGTAGGGCATAGTGGATTTTTCGCTCGAATTGGAGCACCAGTCTGGGGAAGTAACTTCCACCTTACAGAAGACAACAGTAAAATAACACTACCTATTGGTGGTGTTGCGTTTCTGTCGATGAGTAAGGTTCCGGGTTAAACGGGTATGGGGATTGGGTCAGGGTAATCAACGGTGCAAGTGATATTTTGTGTATCGCAACCGTCTATAGCCTGGGTTCCGAACCTGGGGGTAATTACCCCTCCGGGGGTAAATCTGCCATACTTCGGGGGTAACAAAGAACCTAATTATTTGGTCAAATCTAAATAAGAAAATACTATATAATAATACTACTAAATAGAGCATGCGCTCCTTCTTGCTAGTGAGCCCGCGGGGTGCTGAGTGTGGGAAGCGGGACGAGATTTTCTCCTGATGATGACATTATTAGAGACGAAGATGTAGCGGCCAAATTGGAATTTCTTCGACTGATGATAACATTTTAAAGTCGGGGTAAAATCTGTTTCCCTAATAGGTTACAGGGGTAGCAGTATTGGAATGGTTAGAAAACACTGGTCTATAGGCTATGATGACCGCTTACCATCAAGCGAGCCAAGTACTTGTTTACCACCCTTTTAATAAGCGTGCGTCGCTCGACAGTCGTCATGTCAATCGCTAGCTGCTGCCGCAAGAGGTATGTGTGGTAATAATAAAATTTTGCTGCTATCCAAAATGAAATTAGTTACATTCCCCCATATAATGATAAGGATATATAACCATGTGCCGAACTATCAAAAAAATTATAACACACCGGCGCAATTTATCAAACATTTAAAAAGACTTGCTTATAGCTAAATGTTATTATGAACTAAATGAATTTTTCGATGACAAATCAACCAGCCAATGGAATGCTTCAGACTCTTAAAAATTAATTTATTAATAATGTATTTAAATGAAGAATAAATAATAATATTTGAATGAATTAATGCTGTTGATTCTGGCATGATTCTCTAAACTTTTTCATTCTGTATTGGGAATGAGAAGGATACACTGTTGTCGAATTTAGGTTTGGGTTTGGAGAGTCATGCTAGAATTAACACCAATGTATGTGCAGAATGATTGAAGCTTGATTTATAAATTATATTGTGCAATTGTATAATGAGGAGCTCGATGGCGCAAGTGGTTAGCGCGTTAGGCTGCGATCGTTGTAGTTAAGCAACTTTCGCAGTGGTCGGTCATTGGCTGGGTGACCAAAAAATTCTCAAGTTCCTCCGTGCTTCGGAAGGCACGTTAAGCCGTTGGTCCCGGCTGCATCTGCAGTCGTTAGCACCCACCAATCCGCACTGGGCCCGCGTGGTGGGTCATGGCCCAATCTCCCTATTCCATCTATAGGGAAGGCCTGTACCCCAGCAGTGGGGACATTAATAGGCTGATGATGATGATGATAAAATGTCGGGAGAATCCAGACGATTCTCGACCATCTGGCAACCCTACTTGTATATTTTGAAGGGGGGAAACAAAACAACAGGTCTATAACGATTTTCGGGAAAACTGTAATCGAAAAAAATATATAGCAAAATTGACGGTAATTAAAAGGTCTACCGAGGTACAACTTTTGCATTTACACTTTTTTTTTTACATAAGTATCCTAATAATATCTGTGAAATATCTAAATAACAGACTTTTTGGTTTTTTATTATTCATAAATGAACTATGAGCCAGAAGAGAATCCATGAGCTTGACGGTTGCCCGTCGACCCGTTGACGGCTGCCACCGAAAGGTGGCAACGGACGCTGCAGTTGAGCTCAGTGGGCTTCGAGCTGATGGCTGATGATGATGATGATGAAATGTATAATAATGGATTTTAAATAGATAATAACCCTCTAAAGTTGCTGTGCCCTTGCAGGGCGTCACATGATTACTGTACTTTTCTGTACCACCTTATTTCTGTGAATGTGATATGCAATAAATGAATAAATAAAAAAATACTTACAACAGTACTAGGAGTTACAGGAGCATGATTATAAACACCATTCGGTAACACAACAGTTTTATCCATTTCCATATTAACACTCAATTTATTTATAACCCTCGTTTCATCCAACTGTATATCGGTTTGAGTAACGGTTCTATCTATAGTGAACACTTCTGTGACTTGCTTATCGGCTTTGGCCTTAGAAGCTTCTTTAGTAAGGTTCGATTTGGTTTTCTCCTTCGATCCAAGGATCGGTGAATGCGTTTCTTCGGGTTGTGATATCCGTTCTTGCTTAAGTTGTTTATTTGGTACTGAATCGGGTTTAGGCACTGATATTGTGTCTTCTTTGGGTGGTTCTTTTTCGCTGCAAATTTATTGGGTTTTGTTTAAATTTGTTGATTAAAGATTTGTTATGTGGTAAAAGGTACCCGAAATGTGAAGAATAAATTAAAATTGATTATATCGCCTTTTATACTTGATCAAACAGTGTTTTCTACATGACTAGTGGCAGACCACGATATCGGCCATAAAATAACATTTTACAGGGATAAAAGGTATCAATGTCTCAATATAGGTAAAGTGTGCCAAATTTAATCCAAATCGATTCAGCCATGTAACAAAGAAACAAATTTTGAAATTTCACATTTATAATAATAGAAGAATTGTAAAAGACATAAGAAATAAAAAAGATAATACTTACACAGCTTTGCCTCTTCTGGTACGTTTTGGTCTTGGTTTCTCTGCAGGAGACGCTAAGATGACAGAAATTGGAAAATTTCACAAAAATATTCAGTATTACTTTAACAGCTGCACACAGAAACGAGAAATTAATAGGGAAGATGCAATATTTTTATTTTTGTTTTCATTTTAAAGAATTCCATGTAGAATAAACCACAGATATATTAAAAAATTAAAACATTGTGATTTATCGGAAAAAATGCGGTTTTAAATTGACAATTTAAATTTTCGCGCGAAAACGAACCTATGGTTGCGATGACGTCACTCCTGTCTGTCATTGGTCGTAATTGTTCGTTGCTGGCTTTAAATTTTCATACTTTTGCATATTTATTCGACTTTCGAAATATTTTTTTGAAAAATTTAAAATGGACTATCCATCAACATCATGTGATCATAACAATACCACTAATATTCCGAAAAAAAGCCGTGTTGACTCATGTTTTGTGCCAATCTACTTCAACAAAGTTCCTAAATAAATTGTTTTTGACTGGAACTTCTGACCCAAAACTGAAAAAAAGTAGTTTCAAGCTGCGAAGAGAAATGACAATTATTCTCCAAAGACCATTATTCGATGCTGAGTAGATCACTTTGACGTAAGTCGGCGAATATACTTGTTATATGCTTAATTAATCTGCTTGTACGTAACCTACCTAATACTTACAAAACCTGTCTATAACATATTTTTAATTTTACAGTTGGAGAATGACGTCGAAAATTAGATAAAGTTTAAAATGTGTGGCACAATCTTCACATTGGCAGGACTGAACCAAGCTTTGCGTTTCATTTAAAATAACTGTAACACGATAACCATCTTTACGTACTTTATGGTCCGGAGAACTCGACCTTTTACTGTACATAATTTTCCATCTCTTTTAATTTGGACATAGCCGATTGCATTATCGCCGTAAGATTTGTAGAAACCGCTGAATAAAATAAGAAGTTTAACATTTACGATTTTTACATACCGTAGTAATTTAGTCCCTTTCATTTCTACACTTAAAAACTCTGCACTTTGGACAAAAAAAGTTATAACCATGTCAACACTAACTCTTGGTAAATTCTGGAGTCTGCTTTGAAAAACGCAACTTTCATTTTTATTAAATGTAAAAAAACGCAATAAATATTCCTATAAAATAATATTTACTTTAACAACCATAACCTCAAAGAAGTTGTCATAACAGGAGTGACGTCACTAAACGCTGATTGGTGTTTTAAAATACGTTCCGTTTCAAGTATTTTTAATTCGTAATAATTGTTAAAAAACAACATTATGTAAAATAAAAACGTTGCAGTGGCATTTCTTTTATATTTTTTTAACATTTTAATGATAAAATTTTCATAAATATTATATATGCATCTTCCCTATTATAAATGAGATCTAAGTTAGTGCAGTCTTTGCGAATAAATTAGAATATTTAAAGTCACTCACTTTAAATACCATTAAAATAATTATGTATATAATTTATCATTATCTAATTGAAATCAATAGTATTAATTAATACTTACCAGTTGCACTTTGAGGTGTAGCTTGTGTTGAATCTTTTTCACTCTCCGTGTTCGAAACTTCAGATGCTTTCTGAAACAATATGTACGATTCAATAACAGTGTATTTAATTCTAATAGGATTTTACTAGTGAATATTATATTTGATCTACAATAATCTTATGTTAATTTGTTATTGTAGTCAGACTCTAAGGAATTTCCTTTTGTAGTGTCTAAATTCGATTACAATGCATAAATATCTAATAGGATTATTACTAGTCCAAATATAATATGGACTTGTCTGTCTTGTACTGTCCATATTATATTTGGACTAGTAATAATCCTATTACATATTTACTAGCAAACCAGTGAACCAAATGTTCAAAAAAACCTGAATTAAAAAAAAATGTATTTAATTAATTGAGAACTTCGGAGATTTTGTGTGGTTTCGTTTGAAATTCGTGATTTCTCGAAAACCGGCAGTGCTACGTTACTCAAATCCGGTTTGTAGTCTCATCAGACTATTCTTAACTTATAACTTAAATATTCTCTTTATCTATCTCTTACGGTTTGGCCGCTGAAACAGCACCACAGACGGACGGACGGACTTGTCTAATAATAATAAACGTTTATTGACTTAAAACAAGTTACAATATTCAATATTTAAACTAATAGATAAGAGATGCATTGTAATCGAATTTAGACACTACAAAATGAAATTCCTTAGAAGAGGACGCATCCTTAAAAGATGTGAAACGTCAATAAATAAATAAAGCAGTGCATCTATACTGTTGAAACTTAATTAACTGGATGAGGATTGCTGGTGCGGCAGGTAGAACTGCTGTATCAGCTATCTTCACGTCTGAACTTCACCGTCCCTTTACATCAGGTGGGGTGAAGTTATTTGTCGGACCTATTTATAAAAAAAAACCGTCCAAGTGCGAGTCGGACTCGCGCACCGAGGGTTCCGTACAAACTCAAATTAATACCTCCACGCGTTCATGAGAAAAGAGGTAGTATCTTTGAAATTATCAAAAATATTTTTTTATTATATGATGTCACTAAAAATTACGGTTTTAGCAATTTTTCCTTTATCTGTACTATAAGACGATACTTCGTACCAAATTTCAAGATTCTAAGTTCACGGGAAGTACCCTGTGAAAATTTGCGGCATAAACGGCTGTATCTTTTGATTGCTTTGGCTTAGAAGTTAGATTTTTTCACAGCTCCAAGGGACAGTAGACCTGAGTATTAGATATGAATTTCAGTTTGATACCTCTACGCGTTCCTGAGAAAAACAGTCTTGAAAGACGGAAAACAAAGTGATCCTATAAGGGTTCCGTTTTTTCAGAGGAAGGAGGAGGTACGGAACCCTAAAAAAAAATGGGTGCGTGTACTTATGTAGGCGCGTGAGAAGTTATCCTTCTTTGGCATCGTTTAAAATTAGTTTTTAATTGCATGCAAATAATTAATTACAATAAATTAATAAGAAGTCTGGAAAAGGACACAGTCAATAAAGTTCAGTTTTAATTTGAAAAAATAAATAAATAATCAAAATATTCAATTAAAATCGCTACTGAATGAACTGAATATAATTTATCAGAACATATGTGATTTGCACTTGTATGAAACTCAAACACGTATTCCGAATATACAAACTAGAAACATGTGGATAAATATTATAAATATGAACACCTATAACTGTTACTTTATTACAAAAAATAAAGATGTGGTTTTTGGTTCTACTACACCAATGGTCAAGAGATGGCGCTGTAGTCTCCTGAATCGCGCTTTGGTTCCGTTGTTCCAGATTAATAAATACTTTTGATATTATAAATATGAATACCTATAACTGTTACTTTATTACAAAAAATAAAGATGTGGTTTTTGGTTCTACTACACCAATGGTCAAAAGATGGCGCTGTAGTCTCCTGAATCGCGCTTTGGTTCCGTTGTTCCAGATTAATAAATACTTTTGATAGGCCTTCACAATGCAGTCGTTAGCACCCACTAAATAGAGATTCTATTTCTATTTTGTTGGTAGATTTTCTTAATGTGCGGTAAACACAAAAGTAACGCATGAAGTTGGTCGCTAAAGCGACCAACTTCATGGTGTTAAAATTTTGTGTTACAGTGATGCGCGCGCATCTTAAAATTTCACTCTCATAATTTTTTCATAACGCGCCTAAAGAAGTATAACTTCAAAAATTAAATTTCTTACCTTCTTAGCTCTTGTTCTCTTAGGTCTAGCCTCAATTGGTGGCGGTTGTTCTTCAGCATCCAATTGTTTAGTTGCCCGCGAACTGGCACGAGTTGATCGCGTCGCTGCCACTATATATAGTATAATTTGATATAAAAAAATGTGAAAACGGACCATACATCTGAAGTGAAACTTTTTTTCTTAAATAACCTTACGTTAGGCGAAGCACAAGACATAGGGGAATGCTCCTCATGTATGAGTGATTATACATGAGGAGCTGGCGAGCAAAACGGTTTAATTACACATATGGTTTCGACCATATTTCTTTTTTAAAACACACCAATTAGCCTAGCCCCAAAGTCAGCACTATAAGGCTTTTGTTATGGGATGCTAGGGTAACGGATAGAATACATATACTGTACATATATAAGTATATTTATATAGAAATACATATTAAAATCCATGATTGGAGTACAAATGCTCATGTTCATCACATAAACATCTGCCCCCACCGGGATTCGAACCCGGGACCTCTCGAGTCGGCGACACCATGAAACCCGGCGTACAAACCACTCGGTCACGGAGGTCGTCATAATACTTTATTTTTACAGCCCGGAGGTTATGGGTAAGCTGAATTTGAATTTCAACTCATGTCAATCAAATCCGCCTAAAATTGTGTTAAATTACTAAATTAAAAATCACGCCAAAAGCTCACTCTAGGTATGTCATTCAGATTTTAACGGCTCCTGTAAAATTTTATTACTCAAACTCATTTATTCAGTCTAGGCTGTTACAAGCTCTTGTGAAAGTCAAACGCTACGCCATCGGTTCGTAAATCAACGGCGGGAGACCTTGCACTGAGAAGAACCGGTATGAAGGGCTCAGAAAGGGCTATTTTTTTCTCCCTGTTTTGTTTCATACAGTGTCGTCAATTGAAAGATGACATCAAAAATTGAAAACATGTGTTGATGTCAACTAAAACATATGTTGATGTCTACTAAAACATGTCTTGATGTCAACTAAAACATGTGTTGATGTCAACTAAAACATGTGTTGACGTCCACTTCCATCACATTAATTAACAAAAGTTAAGTATAGCTAGGTACTAATTTTAAATTTAGATGTAATTATACCGTTTTGTTCGCCAGATCCTCATATATGTATACAGGGCGTCTCACGGATTTATCACACGAAGGGAAAGTATATTAAATATTGAAGATAGGATGTTTTACTGAGAGAAGACATCATTTTATTTTTAATAATAACTAGAACCGCATTCGCAGTTATTTTTAACTGACAAAACCAATAGACATTGTTATGTCCAACCGTCCTTAGATTAAAACATAAAGGGAAGATACGGTACGCTTATACTAGCATCATATAAAATATGCTCCAACTCAACTACATAAGCAACTCTCACACACGCACACTTCTGTAAATAAACATTCAATCTAGCGAAACAAAACTGTACAAACGACTGAGTTTTCTCTTCTCTCTTTCTCAGGCTGAGTTGTATTGTTGTCGTTTTATTGATAACAAATGGCGAATAAGTAAATAACATTCATTGCAAACCGCGATTAAAAAAAACGACGGGTTGCACTCCGGGAGAGTATCTATTGTAAAAAAAATGCATATTCTTTGCAATAAAGCTGCCACCTGGACGTCCTAGATAGAGACTTATTATTATAATACGGTAAAATATTACTAAGTTTCGTCCAATGTTTTGAAAGTCAAAAACCTTTCCAATTTTATTGGTTTCGTCCTACGATCAGGACACGTGGACTGTGATGCGATCAGCCCACGTGTCATGACGCGAGTTTAACATTTTTACCCATACAAAAAAAAGTGTACAACGCCCCGCTAAAGAAGTTTTCACTTCAAAAATATTGTTTTAATAGTTTTACAAATGAAAGGTGTTGCCATTAAATTTGTTATTCAATCTTGAATTATTTTTGTTCTTTATAACAACATCGAATGTTTTATCTTTATAACACAGAATATATGCAATATTGTTATATTGAGTGCACATGCAGCGTGTTTGAATGTCCAATTTTGAGTAAAGCAAATTGTGATCATGCACCACAATTTATCTTCCCTGTTTGTTCTAATCTCAGAGTAGATCACACAAATTTTCATCCTTTTTCTGAGGACGCTGCTGTTCAAGTTTCCATACTATAAAATTGGACAATGACATTTTGTATTCACAAACTATTCAAATTCGATATTTGTTTGTGCTACTGTTGTCAAATTTAAGTTTATGTTTAGAGAATTATGCCATAATCGACAACATTGTTCTTATTCCAATAAGTTAGTTTTGGTTTAAACATAATGTTATCTCTGTCTACTTTTAAACAAACAAGAGAGACAGTATCAGTTTTAGGCCAGCTTTAAATTTAGTCTACGGTTTGTAATAGGTGTATGTATTGTATAATACAAAAAATATATATTCGCTTTCTGTACAAAGTATTTGTGACTAGCTGTGCCCCGCGGTGTTACCCGTGGTTTATTAGGGATATTTTCCCGCAGTAAAACGTAGCCTATGTGTTAATCCAGAGTGTCAGCTAATTCCACACCAAATTTTATTAAAATCGCTCCAGCCGTAAAGAAGTAACAAACATACACACTCACAAGCTTCCGTTTATAATATTAGTGTGATAAATAACAAATTTACCTGGAGCCGTGTCTGTTTGTTTCCTAGTTCTGGTGGAGCGACGGCTTCTGGATGATTCCTCTTCATTACTCTCCTCAAGTTTCTCTTTGACGGCGCCTTTGCGAGGTTCTGGAGTAATGAAAAATAAAATAAATAAATAGTTTGCATTTTAAATCTTAGTGGTGAAACCGAAATTATTGTAAAATTACACATGCTAAAGTTATTTTACAGGAATTTCAATTCAATTTAATTTGAAATTACATTTTTAAGTTTAATTTACCATAACAATGATAAAAAGTATATTTTTAATGCTTTAATCGTGTTTCAATGATTTTTAGCCTATCCGCCTTCGAAAGCCAATTGCAACACAAATAGGCTGATTAAATACAATTTTATTTCATGTTTTTTGGTAGTATAGAAGCATGCGGAGTTTTTAATTTTAGCCAGAAGCTATGGAAACTCCTTTTTGTATTTTTAAATTGAAGTTGAATGTTTGAGTAAATCCTACTAAAAACTAAAGTTCCAACTTTCAAGCCTTTTTTGAGCAACTTTAAGTAATTTCAGGAAGCTAACTATTTTTTTTATATTAAAACTAAATTCAAGACACTTATGTCACAAAAAAAAGACTGCAAAATACCTACTACGAAAAAAGATATGAATTTTTGAAACCTTGATGGCAGAAAAAAATAAAAATACACAAAAAAAATAACTCGAAACTAAGAAAAATCGCGGAACATACATGGGGTATTTTCAGATAACCCAGGTGCGAGAAATCTAAAAAAAAAATTTTTGACGTCACTAATTGGACCAGCCTGTATAATAAAATGGTAGGAAAGTCAAAACTGCACATTGAATATTTTTTTAAAAGAATACTTGGGGTGTGATCTACAATCAATACTGAAGCCAAAAATCCAGTTTTTAGAATTTTTGTCGGTTTGTATGTATGTCCAGTATAAATTTTAAAAGTACTGCATGGATTTACTTCAAATTTGGCAGGAATATTATTAAGAATTCGGGTCAACATATTATAGGCTATATATTATCATGCTATCACCTACGGGGAACGAACAGTGCACCTTTATTTCTAACTAATTCCACATGCACATATTATGAGTGTTCAACTTTTTTTCACACACTTTTTTTCATACTTTTGTCCACCGTAATAAAGATAGTAACAGTAATCGTCCATACAAGAATAAGGCTTTAAATAACATTACATTTAGATGACCCTCCCTGAGTATGGCCCTTAGTAAGTCATATTGAAATGAAAGTTTAAACTACCAAAAAAGCTGCAGTTACAATGATTTTCGCAGTTGGAATTCATAACTTATACAGAAAATAAACATATACATATGATGATGAATTAAATTTGAGAAATATTTTTTTGTTTCAGAACTTACTTGGTACTGGTGCCATGGGTGGCGGCATTGCAATTTCATCCTTATCGAACTCCTGTTTAAGTGGAACATTGATTGGCAGAGATTCCATATCCATCGGTTCCGGAGGAATTGATACTTTTTCCTGTTTAACTATAGAAAATGTTAAATTAGTATTGAGACAATAAAGTATACAATTACATATTTGTTACTTAGGTTTTCACGCACATCACTCATTAAATAAAACTAGTTTTTGCGGGTTAATGCACGAAACTTTATTTATTTATTGACGTTTCGTAGCCTGTAAACGCTACTAGTAGTTTAGTTGTAACTCGTTTTATTTATACAATTACATTTTTAATATATTCTCTGTGTTTAGGTACTGCTTTGGTTTGACTTTATCTACACTTTAACATAAATCTTGTTGTAATAGATGAACTTTATAAAAAAAAAACTCAAAATAATAGTAAACTAGTAGGTGCCCCCGACTTTGTCTGTATGGAAATATTGGTTTTCCATACAAACTTTGAACTTTCCTTTTACCTTTTACAGGGGTAAGTTTTGGAAAATCCCTTTTTAGGGCATGCCTAGATCTAATAGCAATATGTGTGCCAAATTTCAGTGCAATCTGTTAAGTGGTTTGAGCTGTGTATTGGTAAATCAGTCGAGTCGACAAGCTGGATTTGAAACTGTCATATACAATACTCGTATATATATGTTTGTACTAAGCCTTGGCCCACAGAGACATAAAAAATAGCACTCTCTTCTTATACTAAAAAGCTAAGCAAAAATCTTAGGCAGTAAATACACCTTTTCAATACTTACTGTTCACAGGAAGTAATGGTTCTGTATTCTCCTTGTTTTCCTCATCTTTTCGGGTGTGGCCTTTAGATTTTTCCATGGAGGCTTCACGACGCATCTTTTGCGTCAAGTTTACATTAACCTGTTGAATAATTACACCATATATCAATAAGAAAGCACACTAATTATCACCATTCACAATGATAGCCAACGCAGAGGTTAAATTCTTAGATATTCCACTTCAAGGGCATCGCCAGCCTACGACCTAGGCAGGAGAGTGGGGAAACAAGTTTGTTAAGTTGTAATGCTCTGCCACTTAATTGAGATTAAAATTATCTAGTGAATTCAGTCTAAATTCAAGCAAGAAATCTATTGTTATACTCTTTCCTGGTACTCGGTACCAAGGTATACGACACATATCCATAATGATTGAAGGGCTTAGAATGTTTTGAGGGAAGTTTAAGGTCTGTCAGCCCATTGATCAGCCTTAGATGTGCTCCAGATTTATAGTTACCTTGTTTTTGTAGCAGTATATATTATTAACCATTGAATATAAAACATAGTATACGGTGGGCCTAATTCTGGCTTGACTCTCTAAACTTAAAACTAGAATTAATGGCAGTCAAGGCAGCAAATTTTCCAACAAAAAAAAAAATAAAGGAATTTAACTAGTCTCTTCTTTTCATTTGGTCAAAGCATGAGAAAGATACATTGCTGCCAAACATAATTTTAGATTTAAAGAATCAAGCCCATTATCATTGTTATTAATAAAAGTTTATAATAAAATCCTTATTAGAATACTGTACCTGTTTACTAATAATACTTTGAGCTTTCACAGATGCATTTCTCTTTTGTCTTTTTTCTTGTTCAGGACTCGATATATCATCCATTTCATGTTTACTACGTTTCTTGGACACTCTTCTTGGTCTCTCATTATTGGATTCTGCTGAACTCCGGCTGATTGTTTCCACATTCGATTTGTCGCTTGATAAAACCGTTTCAGTATTTTTATTTGGTTCATCTAAAAGTTAACAAATTTTAAAATAAATTTATTATCACTTGTAATAAGGTCAAAAGGTTAACTTGATTTTGTAACATCTCAATAGGTAGTGGATTATAGGACATTCTGAGCCCAGAATAAAATAGTTTTTTTTAATTTGACCTTATATCTTGAAATATAAATAAAACGGATTCAATGATACGAACTAAAACTGTGTATTATCCAGCCAAAATAAATGGTGTGAACTAGTATGCGAGTAATCAATATCATCAACCAATATTTATTTAAAAATAAATAACTTACCTTCATCCTCATTGATACTTTGAAGGGTCGTCATTTGATTCTTCTCCTTTTGCGCCTTCTCCCGCGCTCGCCCACGTCCATTCTGATACTCTTCCTCAAATTTATCAAAACACTCAAGCGCTGCCTGTAAATCACAACCATTTTATCATTTGAAAACGATAATACACTTTGAATAACGCAAGAACACTAGAAAAGCACGATAAACCACGTTATATCCTCAACGTTGTGCGAAAAAGTGTACGCTGTGTTCACGATCACAATATTCACACATTAACTTTACCTTTAGTTCGTCATTGAAATTTTTGGTAAGTGTATTTGATATCTCCTTGAGTTTAGGTAGCAGTTCATTGAAAATTGACATAATTGTTCAGAAAACTCCACTTTCACAAAAGTTTAACAAATTTGACAAACGCCATAAAACAACAATCGAAAACCGTTTGAAATTGAACGAAAAGCAGTGATACCAACCGCCTATCAACGAAAACGACAATATGGCGTCCATACCATACGTTCAGAAATTGAAAAAAGTGAAAACTTGAAGCAAAATATTGATTGTTTTTTTCTTTTTATTGCATTGCCTTTATAAAAATAATAATACCAAGGTCACTTTAAACACTTAAAAATAATAAGAATAATTTAATTTAAGGACTCTTTCTTATTTGAGTTGTCTCAAAGGGGCATGACCTCAGAGTCTTAAAACTCAATATAAAAAACACTATTGAATAAGTTTCCAACGCTTTATAGGTTTGGTTTATTGTAAATTTAGTACCTACTTTACAATAAACCAAACCTATTATAGGTAGGCGTAAAAGCAGCTTTGTAAATGTGTGCATTGATTTATGCCTTTGAGCATAGATGGCGCTGAAAAGACAAACTGTATACAGTAACGACATCTATCGGTGAGTAGTAAGTGCATTACTGTGCGCACAAAGTGCGCACAGCGTGGCGTCTCGGTGTTGCATAAATAGCTATTGGTTGTATGATGTATAGCTCCGGATGGCGGGAGACCGAGGTTCGAATCCTGTTTGACACATGCACCGAGCAGATTTATTCTAATTATTTTAGATTTTTAAAATAATGTTTGATACATATATATTATATACAGGGTTACAGGGAAAGTCGTGCTGAATATTGAAGGACGTTATTATTCAGGTCATTTCTGATGGATTTGGTCCTATAATATGGTGTCCAAAACTTAACCGTTATGGAGATATTGGATATTAAAGATTTTTTTTAAAAATCCTATATTTTTTGGGTTACTGTAGATTTTTTTGAAATTAGAGCTCCAAAGGTCCGATTTTTTAATGAATCTAGTTAGAAGACATGTCAAGCAATAAAAATAATGAATAAAAACTGAACTTCTAACGGCTTAAAAAAACTGCTCGACAACGGTTATAACTAAAGAATTTTCACCAAGTGTTGTTAACTTTGAAGCGCTTTCCTAAAAAAACATGTACGGAACTTATTCTGCAAATAATTTTAAAAACTTCTACGTCTCTTTAGCTATTCAAAAAGGTATAACACTTGCTATTAAATTGGCAAAACATTGACCAAATAACAGTTATGGTAGCAGAGGGTACATTTTTAGTTTGAGGTAAAAATAGCAAAAATACGTAAATAAAACCAGAAAAGCATCATCATCATCATCACCAGCCTATTAATGTCCCCACTGCTGAGGCACAGGCCTTCTCTATTGATGGAATAGGGAGATTGGGCCATGACCCACCACGCGGGCCACGCGGTTGAACTTAAGCAACTTTCGCAGTGGTCGGTCATTGGATGGGTGACCAAAAATTACTATCTCGAGCTCCTCCGTGCTTCGGAAGGCACGTTAAGCCGTTGGTCTCGGCCGCATCTGCAGTCGTTAGCACTCACCAATCCGCACTGGGCTCGCGTGGTGGGTCATGGCCCAATCTCCCTATTCCATCAATAGAGAAGGCCTGTGCCTCAGCAGTGGGGACATTAATAGGCTGGTGCTGATGATGATGATGCTTTTCTGGTTTTATTTACGTATTTTTGCTATTTTTACCTCAAACTAAAAATGTACCCTCTGCTACCATAACTGTTATTTGGTCAATGTTTTGCCAATTTAATAGTAAGTGTTATACCTTTTTGAATAGCTAAAGAGACGTAGAAGTTTTTAAAATTATTTTCAGAATAAGTTCCATACATTTCTTTTTTAGAAAAGTGCTTCAAAGTTAAGAACACTTGGTGAAAATTCTTTAGGTATAAACGTTGTCGAGCAGTTTTTTAAGCCGTTAGAAGTAGGTTCAGTTTTTATTCATTATTTTTATTGCTTGACATGTCTTCTAACTAGATACATTAAAAAATCGGACCTTTGGAGCTCTAGTTTCAAAAAAATCGACAAAAACCCAAAAAATATAGGATTTTTTAAAAAAATCTTTAATATCCAATATCTCCATAACGGTTAACTTACGGACACTGTAAAGAAAATATAACTAGAAAAAACTAGAAAAAATTCCACGCAGACCAGGCAGCAGACGGGACTCGAACCCGCACCCTTCGCAATCCGGGCGAATGCACTGACCAATTATGCTACCGCGGCCCTCACGGACCGCGTCGAAATTCTTTCTAGCTATTCTTAAGCTGCAAGGCAGCGCCATCTCTTCGCATTATAGGTAAACCCACAATGTCAAATGAATACTTTTACAAGTATTAAACATTTGAAAGAAGAAATAGCAATTATAGTTATAATTTTTATTATTTTTAAAGCATGTAACTGCTTGATGTTTAAATCTAAAGAAAATATAACTAGAAAAAATTCCACGCAGACCAGGCAGCAGACGGGACTCGAACCCGCACCCTTCGCAATCCGGGCGAATGCACTGACCAATTATGCTACCGCGGCCCTCACGGACCGCGTCGAAATTCTTTCTAGCTATTCTTAAGCTGCAAGGCAGCGCCATCTCTTCGCATTATAGGTAAACCCACAATGTCAAATGAATACTTTTACAAGTATTAAACATTTGAAAGAAGAAATAGCAATTATAGTTATAATTTTTATTATTTTTAAAGCATGTAACTGCTTGATGTTTAAATCTAAAGAAAATATAACTAGAAAAAATTCCACGCAGACCAGGCAGCAGACGGGACTCGAACCCGCACCCTTCGCAATCCGGGCGAATGCACTGACCAATTATGCTACCGCGGCCCTCACGGACCGCGTCGAAATTCTTTCTAGCTATTCTTAAGCTGCAAGGCAGCGCCATCTCTTCGCATTATAGGTAAACCCACAATGTCAAATGAATACTTTTACAAGTATTAAACATTTGAAAGAAGAAATAGCAATTATAGTTATAATTTTTATTATTTTTAAAGCATGTAACTGCTTGATGTTTAAATCTAAAGAAAATATAACTAGAAAAAATTCCACGCAGACCAGGCAGCAGACGGGACTCGAACCCGCACCCTTCGCAATCCGGGTGAATGCACTGACCAATTATGCTACCGCGGCCCTCACGGACCGCGTCGAAATTCTTTCTAGCTATTCTTAAGCTGCAAGGCAGCGCCATCTCTTCGCATTATAGGTAAACCCACATTGTCAAATGAATACTTTTACAAGTATTAAACATTTGAAAGAAGAAATAGCAATTATAGTTATAATTTTTATTATTTTTAAAGCATGTAACTGCTTGATGTTTAAATCTAAAGAAAATATAACTAGAAAAATATTCCACGCAGACCAGGCAGCAGACGGGACTCGAACCCGCACCCTTCGCAATCCGGGCGAATGCACTGACCAATTATGCTACCGCGGCCCTCACGGACCGCGTCGAAATTCTTTCTAGCTATTCTTAAGCTGCAAGGCAGCGCCATCTCTTCGCATTATAGGTAAACCCACAATGTCAAATGAATACTTTTACAAGTATTAAACATTTGAAAGAAGAAATAGCAATTATAGTTATAATTTTTATTATTTTTAAAGCATGTAACTGCTTGATGTTTAAATCTAAAGAAAATATAACTAGAAAAAATTCCACGCAGACCAGGCAGCAGACGGGACTCGAACCCGCACCCTTCGCAATCCGGGCGAATGCACTGACCAATTATGCTACCGCGGCCCTCACGGACCGCGTCGAAATTCTTTCTAGCTATTCTTAAGCTGCAAGGCAGCGCCATCTCTTCGCATTATAGGTAAACCCACAATGTCAAATGAATACTTTTACAAGTATTAAACATTTGAAAGAAGAAATAGCAATTATAGTTATAATTTTTATTATTTTTAAAGCATGTAACTGCTTGATGTTTAAATCTAAAGAAAATATAACTAGAAAAAATTCCACGCAGACCAGGCAGCAGACGGGACTCGAACCCGCACCCTTCGCAATCCGGGCGAATGCACTGACCAATTATGCTACCGCGGCCCTCACGGACCGCGTCGAAATTCTTTCTAGCTATTCTTAAGCTGCAAGGCAGCGCCATCTCTTCGCATTATAGGTAAACCCACAATGTCAAATGAATACTTTTACAAGTATTAAACATTTGAAAGAAGAAATAGCAATTATAGTTATAATTTTTATTATTTTTAAAGCATGTAACTGCTTGATGTTTAAATCTAAAGAAAATATAACTAGAAAAAATTCCACGCAGACCAGGCAGCAGACGGGACTCGAACCCGCACCCTTCGCAATCCGGGCGAATGCACTGACCAATTATGCTACGGACCGCGTCGAAATATACTTGTAAAAGTATTCATTTGACATTGTGGGTTTACCTATAATGCGAAGAGATGGCGCTGCCTTGCAGCTTAAGAATAGCTAGAAAGAATTTCGACGCGGTCCGTGAGGGCCGCGGTAGCATAATTGGTCAGTGCATTCGCCCGGATTGCGAAGGGTGCGGGTTCGAGTCCCGTCTGCTGCCTGGTCTGCGTGGAATTTTTTCTAGTTATATTTTCTTTAGATTTAAACATCAAGCAGTTACATGCTTTAAAAATAATAAAAATTATAACTATAATTGCTATTTCTTCTTTCAAATGTTTAATACTTGTAAAAGTATTCATTTGACATTGTGGGTTTACCTATAATGCGAAGAGATGGCGCTGCCTTGCAGCTTAAGAATAGCTAGAAAGAATTTCGACGCGGTCCGTGAGGGCCGCGGTAGCATAATTGGTCAGTGCATTCGCCCGGATTGCGAAGGGTGCGGGTTCGAGTCCCGTCTGCTGCCTGGTCTGCGTGGAATTTTTTCTAGTTATATTTTCTTTAGATTTAAACATCAAGCAGTTACATGCTTTAAAAATAATAAAAATTATAACTATAATTGCTATTTCTTCTTTCAAATGTTTAATACTTGTAAAAGTATTCATTTGACATTGTGGGTTTACCTATAATGCGAAGAGATGGCGCTGCCTTGCAGCTTAAGAATAGCTAGAAAGAATTTCGACGCGGTCCGTGAGGGCCGCGGTAGCATAATTGGTCAGTGCATTCGCCCGGATTGCGAAGGGTGCGGGTTCGAGTCCCGTCTGCTGCCTGGTCTGCGTGGAATTTTTTCTAGTTATATTTTCTTTAGATTTAAACATCAAGCAGTTACATGCTTTAAAAATAATAAAAATTATAATTACGGACACTGTATTATAGGACCAAATCCATCAGAAATGACCTGAATAATAACGTTCTTTAATATTCAGTACGACTT